CCACAATGAATGATCAGAACACTAAATGTGCTAGCATTGACTGCAATTGAATCAATTTTTACACACTGAGACAAGAGTCTAACAAACCAAAACAATTAAACTGATTTAATCATTATCACTTAGTGTCAGTTTAGCAAATGGCAACAGTTTTTTGTATTGATTTGACTAATTAATTGTCTCACATTGAGTGACAAACTCAGAATTCTGCAAGAACAGCACCCAGTTCCAGATAGCGATATTCGTTTACTCTCGGGGCGTAGTTCTCTTTGAACTGTGAGCTGTTCTTAAAGTAAATAAAAGTTCCATCCCATTGGACTGGACATAAATGTGTAAAAAAAAAAAAGGGAATTGCTTGCACAAAACTCCTCTGCTATATCAGAACAGAAACAGCTGCCTATTTCTTCCTAATATGCAGCTAATATGTATCACTGTAGCAATTATATTAACTCCCTAGTCTGTAGCCTGCTTAGTTAAACAAATTGGATGAAATCTATTCTATTCATAGATGAAACCATATTAACTTACATGTCTCAATATATAAAACATTTTCAGTCACTTTCATACTAACAGTTACAGGATCATGAGCTTTTACTTCACAGCATGGCTGTAAAAGTCTGAGACTGAAAGACTGTTTCCTTGGGAGGCTCAAATTTACTGAACCTGGCACCAGCAAAGGCTCTGTAAATTAAAATTTGAACAAAATACTTTGAAAATACATAGAAATATGTTCTAATAAAATGCCAGCTTCCACAGCAGTCTTCTTTCAAATGAGTATTTTCACTAAGACTTCACCAAGAATACTCCAGTCCAACAAGAACATGAAAATATGTGGCAGGGCCATGGCCATAGTCCTGCAAATTCTTGAGTTTTTCCCAGTCTAGAACATGCACTCCCAAACATGTTTTTATGTCCCCCAGGATTTACACTGGGTAGGGGCTAAAGTTAAAGATTAATGCCCTTTGACATAATCTTCCCAAAATAAAACTTTTTTTATCTCTACACATTAACATGGTGAGGGGTTAACCAGCAGTGTATATTAAAAAAAAATCTATAAACATAAACAGCTAGAAGTGGAACATATTTCAGATTTAACTCTATGCCCTTGTGCTTGGTAACCAGGCAATCCACTTGCAAATTAAATCAGATCTGGTAATAGCTGGTAAAAGCCTGATACTTTCTGTCTCACTTGAATCATTCTGGAGAAGAAGCAAAAATCAGACTGTTGGTATGTAGTAAAATCACATAAATGGAAGTGGCAGGATAAGGAGAAATTAAATATCCTATTGTAAACCTGTCACAATTACAAAGCTGACACTGGTTAAGCATGTTTGAGAACATTAAAAATGCCAATTATAGTACATAAAGGATAAATATAGATTAATTCCTTTAATGTCTGCTGTCCAATTTGGATTCATTTGGATATCTGAAGGACTGAAAAACAAATCCAGCAACAAAGAAAAAAAAAATCTGTAACATATTTACCAGGTAAAAGTGAACTGCATTAGAGCACATAGAAGGAAGAAAAGGTTACAAGGAGGGATTAAACAGATACTTAAGCAAAAATCAGCTGTGGAGTTCCAAACTGCAGGAACAGAGGCAACACAGAAAGGCAAAACTGGCAGGAAAGCAAAGAAAAACAAGGAACTGGAAAGAGAAAATGGATTATTAAGAGGAAACAGAATGTGAAACAAACCAGAGAAATTACAGTATATTCACTTCTTGCAGGGCAAGTAAAATCATATTTTAAGAATTATGGTGTTCCAAAATGTATCGAGACAGGCTCTGCCACTTGTTCTAACAGACAGGGTGGCTAAAAAAACCAAAACAACAAACCTTGAAAAAAAGGAGGAAACTACAGTGAATATAACAATTTCACATCTTTCTGATGCTGAAATAAATGTATCTGAAAACTTGTTACTTTGAAGGTTAAGATTCTGCACGTACAGTGCCTTTTCCAGCCTACAGCTGTCATGATTTCAGGTTTGGTTTCTAAATGTGACAAACTCCTGTAAGGATTTTTCACACTTTAAAATACCATTTGGATTTCAGTGCACAGTTAGGAAACCAGGTCCCCTAGCAGGAGATAAGACGCCTGCTTGTCAAAGTTTGGTTTGATGTATTACATGATCCAAAATTGCTTAAAGGTTTTGGCACCTTAAAATCAATACAGAAATCGAGTTCCTGTAGTCTAGCCAAGTGAGGTAATGATGGCAACAGGCTAAGTATACTGTAAAACATAATTAGCTTTACATATAAATGCTAGTTTTATCACAGTCTATAACTGATGAGCAATGAAAGTGAAAAATACAGTTTCCTTCCAAAATCTTGTAATTAAATAATCTCAACAGACAAAATTTTGATGTGGAATTCTGTTTGTGAAAAAAACCCAAAAAAACAACATCTCCACACCAAACTAAAACAAAATCAAATACCTTCAGAAATAGTACTACTGTTTTTCAACGTAACTTGTCACTTGTAACAATAAATCATATTTTTATTGTATGTATGTAACAGTGAGCAGTGTCTGTTCAAAGAAATCAAGACAGGAATGATTTTTCAGATGGAAAACAAGGTAATCTTCAATATCAGTATTAAAAGTGGGTTAATTTATGCAGTTATATTTGTTTTTAAACAACAGGCTAATCCTTTGGAAAAGCTTGTAAAATGTGGATCCTGAAACAGAAGCACAGCTGGTCAGAACAGCCCAATGCGCTCCACCCAGTTCAAACTTCATTTAGGTAACTCCTGTCTCTAATTTAAGTTTTCCCTAAAAATTACATCAGATGTAATTTCAGGAAAACATGTTTCCCTAGATTTTCAAATACTTACAAAGGGCACTATCTTTTACAAAACTTCTTCCCAGACTACGTTTATGACAGTTTTGCTTACCTTTAAAAATAACAGAAACGATAGGATCTGGTTTCCCAAACTTGGTTTTAGGGATATTGGTAGCAGATTCCACAATCACCCGAAGCATTGTTTCCCGTCTTGCCTAAATGTTGACTGCCCCTGAAGGAATTAAATCCTCAGTTTCACAGTCCTTAACTTCTGGACCGAAATGCTAGAAGGAAGAGGAGGCAGGGAATTACTGGTTTACAGCAAAGGAGGTCTATGGGTGGATCTATGACGGACTAGGTACTCAAAAGCTCTGGGAAAAAAAGAGTCCTGTAAATTGACACCAGGTTCTGTCTTGCTGCACAGAGAGAGCTCTCGCTAATGAAATCCTGTAACAGAAAGGGCACGCTGCAAAAACTCCGATTTCTTGTTGCTGCTTTTACTCTTAAACTGCTCAATAGATCTGTCGTCAGAAACCAAGGCAAGAATTAAGCAACATGAACTTTAAGCACGACTCTGGAACTCGAGCTAAATCACATCTGCCTCTCGGTATACCAAGGTATGAAATTTTAAGATGGCTTTTATTTTTTTCCCCCCTGATTTTTAGAACTTCATTGCTCGCAAATGCTTTTGGCTTGTCTCCGTGCCAGCCTAGTCACAAACTGGCGATGATCCCAAAAACCAGTGTAAGTCCTCCCCCTCCTGTTGTATTGTGGAACAACGACACTGCAGCCTCCCCACGGAACGTCCTGGATATTGTAGGTTTCTTGAGGAATTATTGAAACTGTTATAAATTTGTATTGTGATATTGGCTTTCGCAGATGAATATTATATGTTAAATACTTTTTAGCTATGTATGTACTTTTTTTCTTGCTAACAAGTCTTAAGCTTAAAAGAATTTCCTAGGTACAAGGCAAGGAAACCCCAGAGGGCAAGGACAGTGGGGCCCAAACTCTTATCAAGAGAACAATAGAGGCCAAACTGTTATCAGCGGAAGATATGAAACCCAGCTGTCTCAGGGGAAGAATGATGGCCCCGGACTGTTATCTGCCCTGACCATTTGCAAAAAGAAAGGAAACCAAACTCCAGAATAATGCTGACCAGCAAGAATAATAAGAATAATGATGACAAGCAAAAAATATATGTTAACCAGCAGAAAATAAAACTGTGAACAGCATGATCCAAAAAGGCAGAACCAGGGAGGGGACATGCTTGAATATGCATTAACCCCTCACAGCAAGGAGGGGATAAAAAGGGTATCCCTGAGATACCAGGTGTGTTCCTGGCAAGGCGCCAGGGCGCCCGGCCGTTTTAACCCTTTGCTTTATTTCTTTTGTCTCCTAATTGTCTTTTTATTTATATTAAATTCTTTTTATAATTTATTAAGTGAATCTCGTTTTTAAGAAAACATACATCCATAACTAAAAATTTAAGAGTATTAAGGAAATGCGTGAAAAAAATAAATTAAAAGTGACATATATTGCTTGGAGGCATATGAATCTTTTGTCTTAACAAACGCTCTGGTATGAACTAGGTAACATTTACAGGACAAGCACAAGAGCTCTGAGCTCCCCGTGCTCGGCGTTAGTTTTTCTCAGCTGTGAACAGATGTAAAATCTCGAGAGGTTCACGCTGCCACTGCCACACGTGTCCCCGTGTCCCCAGGGCAGAGGAGAGGGGAAGCCAGAAAGATGGAGCAAAACGAGTCACAAGTGAGCGCACTTCAGCCTAGTTTTTACATGGTCACACGAGACCTATCCTAGCTTACTTTGTAATTTCTAAAATTATTAGATTTGGGGTAGATGAAGAGGATTTCTGGAGAAGGGAGTCACAAGCGTTCAGGAAGAAACGAGGACACAGACACGTAAGAGACAGCACTGAGCGGGCACTGAGCCATCCGAGCAGCACGGTGCACCGCTCCGCGCCCCCGCACCGCGGGCCGAGCCCTGCCGCTGACACCCGCCCGGGAGCCCGGCGGCGGAGGGTAGGGACGCGACATGAGGGGAGGGACGCGACATGAGGGGGCGGTGACACCGGGGGCGGTGACACCACGGGACACCGCCTCCGCCGCCCCGCGGGGACATCCGGAAAGGCCGGAAGTGACGGTCCGGAGCCGCGGGATTCAAACTCCCGGAAGCGGCGCGGGCCGGGCCCGGACGGAGCAGTGTCCCCGCTCCGGGCCGTGTCCCCGCTCCGTCACTCGCGGCCCCTCTGGGCCCCGCGGGGTCGGGGAAGGTCCGCGCAGCCTGCGCTCGACTCCAGCTGTCGGAAGGCTTGTCCTGGCCGCTAGAAGGGATCGCTGTTCCGTAGCGCATCGTTTGGTTTGTACAGGCGCCTAAAGATGAACGCCAAGACGGCCATAGATCGAATTATGGGCAAGGGGGGGCTGAAGTCGGGCAACTCCAGAGCTGACAGCGGGCTCGAGAAGGGTAAGCAGGAGGGCGCTGCCCCGCGGAAATCCATGGAGGAGGTGGCGGCAGGCAGAGTGACGGAGCCGGAGAGGAGCGGGCTCCTGCAGGTGAGCCGGGCTCCCCCCGGGCCAGCGCCGGCCCTGTCCCACCGACACGGCGCTCGGCCTCGGGAGCCGGAGCCCAACCCTTCCTCTCAAAACTTTTGATGTCACGGCTGGTTTAGTAGCGTTAGACAGTTTAGACCAACTTTTCGTTTCACACTTTCATTCTCAGATATTTTTCAATGACAGCTGAGCTACTAAAATCACACTCATCTGACAAAGCTGGTAAATACAAAGACTTGAGGCCAGAGGTGCCAGTTAGTCCATTAAGACCCGTCCTCACGTGCCCAATAGAGCACGTCTCAGAGAAGTATTTTAAGCACTTCCTGCAGAGAATTTGACGTTTGCAAACGTTTGATTAAAAACATGCCGAAAGGCGCAGAGTGTTTGAATTGTCAAGCTCCCGCTCAGCTATAGGTAAATGAAAGTGTAATTGTGTTGCTACATTATCTTCCTTTGCAACTAAAGAGCAGAAATTAAGATGCTGCAAGGTATTGAAGCGTCTGTATGTCTATATGACTCTTCCACTCGAGGTAAACCTGTGGTTGAAAGTGAGAAGTTCAAGACAACATATGACCTAGTCCTAGGTTGTCAGGCTTCCCAGAAGGACAGAGAAACTTCAGATAGACACTAGAAAAGGGTACAACTAATGTAGAATAGACATACTAATATATCTACGGCACTTTTTTTAACCAAAGGGCTTGTCATGTGTCTGTGCCACAATGTCAGTTGAGAGCCAAGGATGAGCTGTGGCTGGGCAGTTCATGCACAGTTTTGTCTAAATTCCTTAGGGTATTTGCTGAGTCTTTTGGTGTTTGCTGTTTGCTTGGTGTTCGTAATTTAATACTGGTTTCCTATAAACTTAGAAAAACCGGTGGAAAATCACCATCATGTTTGATATGCCAGATACTCTTTGGTATTTAAATAATATTAATTTTAATATTCATTTTACTTTTAGTGAGCAGTGGTGTTCAACCATTCCATAAATGAGGCTCTCTCAAATTCACTTTCTTTCTGTTTCTCTTTCTAATGACTTGTCTTTCCAATGTCAACATGCAGGATTTCAACATCAGCCCTTCTCAGCAGAATTAAATGCTATCACATCTGACGTTCATACAGAGCCCCATGGCATCTTAAATGCGGTACTTATTCTGTGTAATGATGACCTGTGCTGGAGGCCTACTGGAAAAAGAGTGCATGGTGAAAATATCTACTAAGCACATTTTGAAACTACAGGCCCAGATAATATGGAAAACAGGATCCTTTTCCTGAATGTTTTATTATAACTCTTGTAACTCACTGTCATGTAGTTTGCAAGAAGGCTCTGCCGCTTCCCCAAAGCTAACAAATATGATAAGAAATATACTAAGAATTGTAGCACCAACCTCTTTGCTGGAAGTGTTTTGGAGTTCTTATACTGCTTTTGATTTAGGATTCATATACTGTAGTGATCTTTATTCATATGCAAAACTGAGTACCTACCAAACCTGTGAAACTTGGCTCTTTGCATTCTCTCCTCGTTTCATCTATTTCAGATTGGTTTTACTTGAAATATTTCATATGATTGCTCCAGTATTGTCTGCTTTGAGTTAAAAGTAATTTTCTCAGTGAATTAAAGGCTAAGAGAGAACTTTGAAAGTGAGCATCATAGAAAGGGTTGGGCAGGAAGACACCTTAAAGATCACCTAGTTCAAACCCCCCTGCCATGCACAGGGACACCTTCCACTAGACCCTGCTGCTCAGATCATCTCCAACTGCTGTAAACTTACTAATGCATTTGATGCATACAGTAACATTTACTCTTTTTTATTCTGTTTCATTTAGAAAATACTTTCCCTTGAGAAAGAAAAAGAAAAATACAATCACCTTCTTGGAGAGAAGGACAAAGAAATCCAAAACCTGAAAAACAAGCTCAGGTCCAAAACCAAGAACAGTGAAGTCTCCTTACTACAAAATCAGCTAGAGGAAAAAACAAAGGAAGCAGAAAAGAGAGAACAGCTACTTTGTTCTCTATCAGAAGAAATGAACCGGTTAAAATGTAATTTATCTGCAGCCATGGCAAAATGCTCTGATCTTGAGAACAAAACCAGTAGTACTTCTCAGGCAGCCCAGGTAAGCACTGAAGAAATATTGCAATTGCATATTGGAATCTGTGCCCGCTAAACACCAATACCTGTTATAAAATAGGATGTTTTTAAAATTTTCTTACAAGCTGTGTTGTATGCTGAAATATTGTTGTATGAAGGGAGATGGTATCCAGATTGAACTGTAAATGAGGGACAGTCAGAGACCACACTTCAGGCAACACATCTGGGGAGGAGGGAATGCTCTCCTGCTCTATTGCAAGGTCCCTTGTTCAAGTTCACACACGGGTAGTGTGTCTTATGATACTATGTGGGATGATCCACTGTTGCTTAGGCAGGCACTGTGCCCTTCTCAGATTTGTGTGCTCAGTGATTAGACAGAGTGAGAAGGCAGCAGTGGTAAGAGATGTGGGGCACTAATAAAGACAAACTAAGCTGCTCACCTAATTCAGTTTCAGTCCTGGGAATATCTTTCTTCTCTCTGCTCTTATGAATCCTCATTTGTGTCTCAGTTGTTAAAACTAACTGTCTTTACCTTCTATGGTATCACACATGGTAAATTCTTAAATGGACACAGGATAGGACAAGATTAATGAGTTTCTCCCCTCATTAAGTGGTTGATAGGTATCTTGCCAATCCTTGACAGTGTTTACAAGTCCATTAATGATTCTACAGCTGTTTTTCCACCCCTGCTCTGTTCTAATGTTCTTTGGAAAATGCAGTAGTATCTCTATGAGGGGCACAGGGAAGTTGTTTAGGCACAGGTGCCTAAAAATAGGTGGCTGTCTTTCTTTTCCAGCTTTTGACCTGCAGATGGTGCTGGTTCCCTGCGCTCTACAAGGGAGTTGAGCAATTTCTAGAAATTCTGCTGTAGCCAAATAACAGACTATTTTTATCTACTGCTTTTGAATAACACATGTATATATAGTACTTCTAATAATGCAGTTTATTGAGAAATATCACTTTAAATGCAGTGTATTTATTTTAAATTTTAAGACACTTCAAACTTCATTAAAGGTATTAAAATGTATATTGAGTCAACAGATTTTCATCATATTTTTGTCGATAAACCACCAAAATATGTATTACTTTAAAACCGTAATTTTCTTTTAAATTTTTAACTGACTTATCAACAGAGGATAATGATGTATTGACTGGATGTCTTGGAGAACTTGAAAACAAGTCTAGCAATAGCCTCTTGAAACTGCTTGGTGGCATATGAGCTCTGAAATGGAAACAACAGTTTTATGACATAATTTTGGGAAAGATTTTACTGAGGCAGGACTCTGATGTTCATAGAAACAAGTTCAGTGTCTCTAAATACTATTTTTATTAGGAAGTGTTTAAGTTTATTAATTACATTCAAAGTTCTGTATTTTTCAGCTATAATTTCTTCCAAGATCTGTAGAAAAATGTTGGAAAAAATGTGGTTTGGATTTGGGTAGTAGTCTACTTTTTTTTTCACAGTGAAGTTCCCTCTGACTTACACCTACACAATTTTATAACCACTTTGCATCATTTAGAGAAGATACATGTCAGAGAGGAAGAAATATGTCTGTGTAACTCTCTGCTCTCCAGTTTTAGATGGGTCTCAAGAACTCTTCTACTCATATGTGTACAAAAGTCATACTCACTGTACCGGGGATCAGGTCTCAGAAAATCAAGCAGTCTGTCCTTATGCTTCCAGACAGGCCTGCACAATTACCCAGATGTTTACAGTCTTCCTGTTACCCCAGAGAAGCACCAAGGTCTCTGTCTTTCCCCAACAACTTCTGTATGTCTGGGTCATTGCCATATGTATGAGGATACAAAAAGAGAAGAAAGATTTACCTCTCCTTGTACTTAAATGATACCCTTCAAGTATCTTCATTTTTCAAAAGCTCTTTGCAGAACACTCTTCAGGACTTCCAAGACAGCAGTTCAGCAAAAAACACATTATAGTTTCCTTAGGAAATGTTTTAATGTAAATACGAGTTGCAGACTTATGGAATAAATTCCATGTAAATCTTTGTCCTGTATTTTGCAGGAGAGTCTATTTTAAATACATTAAATGCCTTTCTATGTAACTTGGATCCTTCAAAAAAACGTCAGCAACCAACTATAAAGATCTTTAAACACAAAAGGCACATCTGTTTCAATTTTTAAATGCATCTGTTTTAATTTTTAAAATATTCTTATGCTACTTATGTGAGATTAATAGTTGTACAGGAGTAGCTTTGCTGTTTCAGCCATGTATTTTAAACACCATTAACAAGTTGTTCTTTGTCCTCAGGAAGGTGCAACAAACAGCACTGAAGTTGAAAGACAATTGAAAGATGTAAGTTTCCTGTAAATTTCAAGCACATATCACCTGTATTGAAATGCAGAATAATGTAAATTATCATCATGTACATTTTTGGGTAGTATGAGACCTCAGAGGGTATGTTTCTCTCGAAAATATAATACCTAAAATTATTTAGTGATATGGCAATAATTTAAATTTAGAAACCCAAAAACTTGCAAAAGAAAAAAAAATTAAGATTTCCATCATCTTTGAAAAAGCTTGCTTGGAACATCAGAACAAAGTGGTTGCTGACCAGTCAGGAGCCTGTAGGAACCTGACACTGCCTGGGATAGCATGAGGTTGGATCAGAAACCTCTTGAGGTTCCTTCCAAGCTGAGTAAGTCTATGAGCCAAGCAGCTAAAACATCCATGTCCTTGTTCTTACAAACTAAATTGCAATGATACTGTTTTATTTTATTCCATTTTCAAGGTCTGTTATTTTATATTTCATTTTTTATTTGAGATTGAAAAGCTAATTCTTCATAATCTAGGCACAACTCATGGAAGCCTTTGTTCTTCTTTAAGTAATTTTCCCATTGCTGCACTTTTAACTTATGCTCAGCATCCTGAATTAACTTTCCAAATGAAGATGGATTTATTTATTTATTGTACCAATTACTACAATTTGCATCAGACTTAACTAGCTTATCTTTAAACTGTCCAATATATAACTTTTAATATTTTTAAGATGCAAGACAAATACTTCTAAAAGCTGATTAATTACCAGAGTCTTTTTTGTTGTTGTTCTGTTTCTTTTTATGAAGGCTCTTGAGAAAAACCAGCAGTGGCTACTGTATGACCAGCAACGGGAAGCATATGTCAGGGGATTGCTTGGAAGGATCTTTGAACTTGAACAGAAGACAGAAATAGTTAGCCGGCAAGAACCTAGATCAAATTCAGAAGGTATCAACTTTATTTTTACCCCCACAAGTGACCCAAACCATAATTATCTATAGAATAAATTTTCTGAAAACAAATTGTAGCACATTTAAAATCAAGGCTTTGTTCTCAACACTTTGGCTGCTTAATGGTAAACTTGGTTAAATACTATTTCTCTGCTTGCTGTTATCTACCTATGTTACTTGACCAACAGTACTTCCTGCTCTTACCCACTTCAAAGATGGTTTTTAACAGCCTTGACACTCTATTAGCAACCTATCTGTTTGTGGAAAGTGTTGGGGCAAATAGATGTACATCTCCCATCCTTCAAAGTACACTTTCAGTCAACATAATGGAAGCATTAAGGATTTATTAGCTAGGTGTGGATCAGATTTTTTTAAATTTACTTTTTTCAAAATAAATATTATAAAAATGACTCAAGATTGCCATGTTCTTTACTCACCTGAACAGTTGTTACAGGACAAGAAAGCCTGTGATAGGTTTTGGCACCTCTCCAAAGCAGTGTTTCACAATAAGGATCTGGCCAGCTCCAGCTCACTTCCTTGCTGTGCAGTTCCTCAATAAGGCACACCCTCTCAGTATTAATAAAATTAAAATCATATTGAGCAGAAGAACCAGAAGGAATTGACTTGCTTTTCTTATTACCAAATTGCTAATTTCATACATGCTGCAACTGACCTGCAAGGTAAAAATGACTAAACAGAACTAGCATCATGTGGAGTAAGAGCATACTCACAGACTTGCAATAGTAATTCGAGGGCAGTGGATTGGTTTCTGTATTGCTGTTTGAATCTTTCTGGAAAACAGTGAAATATCATCATAATCTTGTTTTGGTGCTGTTCAGAAATCTGTGAACAGTATTTTTAGAGGGAGGCAGACTCAGCTCACCAGGAAATGCACCCCAGAGTTACTGCAGTCAAAGCTTTGCCAGAAGAGCAGCCAGGAGACTTGAAGTCAGGGTGTTAGAAAGTTCCTCTCTTCAATCAGCTAGGCAGTAGCAGAACTCCAAGTTTCTAAGAATCTAGCTATACAAGTTAAAAGTATATATGAAAACCTTTTCCAAGGAAAAACTTGGCCTCTCTCTGAGAATGTCAGTGCTATAAAGGAGTATTGCTAATGAGAAGCTAGGGCTTAGTTTATAGCTGAGGGAAGGGAAAACTGTCAAGCAGGAAACTCTCCCTAGTAAATTATACTTTGAAGAATTAGTCCAAGTCTTCAATAGGAAAAGTATCAAAGTCACAAAACTTACAGTACTAAAAATCAGCAAAGCCCATGAAATTCTACATCCATTGTTCTGCTTCTAGATATATTTTGTATGGCTCCTGATTTTTTGCATTCTGCCTCTTAATTTTTTCCTACTTATTAAACCTTTCTTGGGTCAACAAGCAGAAATTTTCTAGCACTGCTTTAAATAATAGTTGCTACCCAAGAAGCGAGCATTTTAAATCAAAATAAATATCCTAGTCCTTTCTATTTGCTGTTTAGAAGTAAATTATGGCATACTATTTGGAGAAGATGATCTACAAAAGACAATGGAAGGTCTGGCTATGGTTAACAAGGTTGAAGTAGAATCTGTCACATCCCAAGAGTATCCTCAGGGAGGGAGTAATGCCAGCAGCTTGGCTAAAGAGCCTAAAAGTGGAAGTAGGAATACAGTGTCTTTGGGTCAGATTCCCATGAGTCAGTGTAATGCATGAGGCCTTAGAAGAATAGTGTTTTCCAGTATGCTGGTAAGGAGACTTAACGTATTATAAATACTGAAAGCTGTTTCAACCGAAGTTTAGTTCTATTCTGAGCTCTGCAATGGCAGACTATGTCAATTTCTATTAATTAGCCTTAAAATGCTGTTCAAGATCTACTCCTATGATTTTTAAGTGGATTTTATTTTTTTAACATTACTAATTCAATTATTTCTGACTCATTAAGGTCATCTACAAAGGGAAAAGCAAGAATACCATGACCAGCTGTTACTAGCTGCTAGGAATGATCATGAGACTGAAAGACGCACTATAACCCAGCTGAGATTTGAACTTGATGAACTTAAAAAGACATATGAAGAAACACAAGGGGAAATGATGAGTTTAAATGCCTTATTGCAGTCACAACGGGTTGCTGAATTGAAGACTCAAGAAAATGAAAATAAAATGAAAGAGGAAGCACAAAGACTAAAAGAAGAAAATGAAACTATCAAAGAACAGCTCAGAGAAGAAAAAGAAAAGTCTGAGGAACTTTTATGTCAGGTAAGTGGATGGATTTGGAGGTTTGAGGTCATTAGCAAAGAATCAAGAGAGATGAAAATTCATAGTTAATCAGAATGGACCATGCCTCTCTCTGGTAACTGTTCTTCACATAGATCTAGACTCGTGTCCTTCTGGTTAAAACTGAATTGTTTAAACAAGAAACTTTGTTCATTTATTTCTCTGGTCTTAAGGGACACAAAAGAGAAAGGAGAAAATATTGAATTGATTCTGATGTAGTTTATCCTTGAGACTAATAGTGAATGAGAACAAGAAAGCTAAAAATTCATTTTATTATGTGCTCCCAACTATGGAAGACCAATAATATCTGCTGTCACCTGGAAGCTAAAATACAGCTGATATTTGAAATAAGAGAATAAAATTTACTAGACACCAAAGTATGCCAAAGCCAGAACAACAATTAAGCATTCTAAAGACAGGCTGGCTGTCACTGGTTAATAATTATTAAAAGAAGTTTATTTTATTTTGTTTTATTATTTGTTTTATTATTATTATTTTTTGAAGCTGAACAACAGCATTATCGTAAAAGTTGATACATGCTGAAAGCAGAGGGTATTTTAATGTATGCATTTACTTATTATTATGATATAGCACTTTCTGACCCTTAAACTTCTTCTCTTATATTAAAAAAATTGCATTGTTTGTTTTTATTAACATCATGTCATGTGAGTGCAAACAGGTTTTGTGAGTATATTTTTGTCAGCATCCTGGCAATCACCTAGGAGGCTTCAGTTTTTGTTTTTTTTAACAATAACATCATCCTGCATTCCCCCTTCTCAGTGCAATAATAATTTTTCAGTGGAGTTTTTCCTGGGGAAATAGTGGTTTGAATTGAGTTTGGTTCTTGCATAACAGGCATACATTTTCTGTTGTCATAGGAATGTAAGAGTTTACTTCGATCCCATTATAAATTAGTTCTTTTTAAGCTTATTAACTATAGTATATGGAAGTTGTTTGTTACAAGTGTTAATCTGCCTTGTAGGTGCAACTTCTTCGTAAATCATTGCTCAGACAGGAGGCGGAACACACAAGAATAGCTTTGTTGGAACAACAGGTACAAAATTATGTGCTAAAGTGCTGATATTTAATCTGTGTTAGGCACAAAGTCTTTCCAGACTAACTTCACATTTAAGAATGATTAGTGTATTAAATAAAGTAATGCTAGGCAGGAATATTCAACAGTGCATAATCTCTTGATGCTTTCAAAAATTTTGAAACATCTGTCAGGAGGAAAATCTGTAACCTTCTACTGATAAGAGGGTATGATCAAACCTGGTGCTATTTTCTCCACAATCACTGTTCAACATGTAAAGCCTCAGATAAGGCACAGGAAATATTCTAAAACTAATCACGTAATTAAAGTTTTGTAATATATTTTTTATATAGAAATAATTGCATTGCCGTATTTTCTATTTTCTTTATTTGAAATTGAAACACCCACCAAACAAAATAACTTTAAACTGCACCTCTGCTAAGGGAGATTTTAATAATTGGGCATATGTGAATTTCACTGTAATGAAAGCAACAGCAATTTTTAATTTTTCATTTAAATTTTCCTTTTAATCCCATTTTGAGATGTTATTGCAGAGCAAAACTGACTTTAAATATATAAATAGGAAATATTCCTCCTGATTCATACTAACTTTGACTTCAGTTTTTCACTTTGTTGGGCTGCCAGATCCAGATATGCACCACGGACTTAGAGAATGGAAAGCTTGACCGCCAGAACTTGAAGCATGAGTTAAACCATGTTCTCAAGGAGTTGCGCAAGGCCAAGGAGAAAATAACCCGTCTGGAGCCTCTGGTATGTACTGAAAAACTTGCAGGTGAATTTAGTCAGGGATTTTGCATAAACACACATCCTCTTGCTTTGGGTTCTTATTCCAAGCATTGAGTAAGTGTCCCTCCATCCTTTGTATCTTTCCCCAAGGTGCAGAGCCTTGTGCCAGGCAGGCAGGCACTGCTTTTCTCTCCAGCAAGCATGGAGCGGGAGTGCTGCAGCAGGAGCTCCAGAACAGTCACGGTGCTGAGCAGGGAACACTCTGTATTTTGTATCACAGTGTGTGACCCAGTTTTGTCTTGCACCATGACAAAGCTGCAATGTGCTTCCACTCAGACTTGTTGCTGGTGAACAGTCCTTCGTGCTGTAACACACCCAAGGCTTGTGTGCCATGAAACCTTAATGTATTTTCCCACAGCATTTGATTAGTGCATGCATGCCCCAGTCTTACAGTGAAGCTCCTCCTTTTCCAGAAACTCCGAGAATCTGGACATATGGAATCACAAGAAGATTTGCAAGCTGTATTTGACAAGAAGCTGACCACATATGACAGAAGTCCTCCCCTGAAACATTCCAGCTGCCTTGATGAAAGTTTTCTCGAGTGTCCCAGATGTAAAGTGCCATATCCAACGAGCCAGCATAGAGAATTACTAGCACACATTGACTTCTGTACAGCTTGAGCTCCAAATGAACTTACTATCTTTGCTTCATATATGCTGCCAATATGCTTGGCAAAAGATCTTTTAAAGCTTATTTCTTACAGTTGTATAAATGACAAAACGATAATTCAGTTCCACACAAACAGTATTAACATTATAATTTGGCCTCAGTATTTTACCTCATGTTTTTGAAAAACAGCTCCTGCATTTTCTAGTTGCAAACAGAAATATTTTTAGAATTAGGAATATTTTAAATAGTAAACTACTGGCCTTTTTTTTTTTTTTTCTTTTTGCACTATTAAATGTAAGAATAGTAAAAGCACAATTATTGTGTCAGACTATATTTTAGTTTTGGCATACCCAGTTCTTGGTTGTTGAATCCTGATGATTGTGCTTGTACCTTAACTGACAAGAATAGCTGCAAAAGATTTTTGGCCCTCAAAGGTGCACTATATATATATCTATCTATATATATATATATTTATTTATACATGGTGTGTGTACATATGTGTAGTGTGTAGAGTATATACATACATCTGTTATATATATGTGGAATAGATCAACATCTTGATACATAAAAACTCAGGAGGGCCATGTTAGATCTTTGCTGCTTAAGACTGATGGTCAAAACATCAATCTGAAGTAGCTGATTATCCAGAACCACCATCAGGGGTGGCTAAATTGTTGACCAAGGTTTAATCTCAGAAAAACCAACTTCCTGGTAAACATAAACTTCCTTGGTGCCGAAGAAAGATTATATTTCAGAGAATGTCAGAGGCCATTTTTGAATTTTGGGTATATAATTACTCTGAATTAAACTTGTTTTGCTTCCGTATTTTAGAGGTTAAAGTTGAGAAATGTCAGTTATTCAACCTTAGATTTGACAAATGTCCCAAAGTGCAGTTTTCAACAAATTGCTCTAGTGGATTTGAAGTGTTGCTGTATTTTGGTATTAATACAAAACACAAGTTAATGTCAAATTCTGGCAACAAATTAGAAACTGGCAAAAAAAAATCCCTGATGGATTTACAATTGCAAATTGCAATCTCTAGCACCTACTGTAAGTTTGAATGGATTGTGAGCATTTTGTTCCTTGCATATGTAGTGAAGTCCCAACAGGAAGTTGCTTCATGGAAATTATTCAAATGTGGAAATTTTGCAAAGATACACTAGTTAAGAATAAATTTGCACATTTTACAAGTTTGTGGTTTGCTGAGGACACACAAGTACCCAAGGTGTATGTTTCTCTGGCCTGCTGATTCTGATTGCTAGCTGGTATCAGCTTTCTCCATTTGCTTTATTGCAAAACTGCACGCATTTACCCCATAATGTTCACCTTAATCCCTGATGTTACATTTTTATTCTTAAATATGAAGGTGTTTTCCTATTTGTTGAAAATAACTGATAGTATCGAGTGATGTTATTCTCAATTAAATCCAGTGTTCATGAGACAGAAAATATTAAAAGATATTATCTTTATATCTGAAATATCTCTGCCAGATTTATTGTATTAGCCACTCCCTATCCACTTTTCAATTTCACTGACCATGTCTCAGGCTAATCTTTGTATTTGACAATTTGCTGAACTGCTAGCAACAGTTTTTCTGACCAAAGATATGATAAGCTAAGGAGTAAAACAGAAATTGTGATTCAGAATCTCAAGGTTTTTCCATGAGAGAAATTGTCTTAATTTCATATATTTTTACAAATCTTTTAGTTCAGGATAATAACTATGCTTTTCATTGCAGCCTAATAATTTTAATCTCTAATTAAACTACTTTTGAAAGTTTGTCTTTTAACAACAGCTTAATCAGCTAGTATTCTATTTCCAGCTGCATACTCAGCATAGTTTCTGCAAAAGGAAATCCTGATCTTTTATGTATTATAAATGAAATAAGTTTGCCTACTACAGGTCAGCACTCTTCAGTAGTTCTGAGGCTTTCTTAAATTAGCATAAAACACTTCTACTTTAGAAACTGGTACTGTAGAGGGAGACTTGGAAAGTTCATGATGTGATAAAAAGTTTTGTTCGTTCTACCTTTAATGAACTTTAACAATGGATTTAGTCCTACCTGATAAATACTACCAAAAAACCCTCTTGCTGATAAATTTATACAGGTCATTATTGTGGTATATGTTGCAAAATACCAAAATTACATTTCAGTGAAGTAAAACACTTACTTTGAAAGCAGACCCACAAATACTATTGTCATCACCTACATGTAATTAAAACCAGCTATAAAACTCCAACTTCATACGGTATGCAGATCATATCACTGCTTTTTTTCCATTCCTTAGAAGCTAAGAAATCTCAGAATTTTTTTTTCCTGAAAATTAAAAAAGGAGATCTGCTGCTCCTCTCTTTAGTTATATGTGGAAAAGAGAAGTTTGTGCCTAACATGCTTTCCTTACTGATAAGAATTAATTAGCTGTAAGTCTAATTATTTGTAAGGCAGGAAGCAACAGTAATGTTTTCATTACTTCAAGCACTTTGGATTTACAATGTCAGGAGCCTTTTTCTGTTATGTCCCCTTCAAGTAATTGAATTTCAACCTACCAGAAAGACTGTTATTTGAAGTTGCTGATCCAGGGAAACCTGGGGGCTAATACAATGGTTTACCAATATTTAGTAGCATATTTATAAATCCTAGCTTTCATACTGTTCTTTTTAAACAGCAAATTAAATGCATTTGATGTCATTCATGTTGGGTAGCTGGAAAGACAGCTAAAACTCCACAATTTTTTTCCATAAGGAGAGCTGCTTGTGAAATAAAAACTGAAAGACGGCTCTGTTATTTTTCTTAGATCCATGAATCAACTTCTGGTATTCTCCTTGCTTGTGTAGCTTTTAGTCTCAGTTTTGATAATCATCTTTCACGTGGTTATGTTGATTTTGAGTATTGTACTTCAAGAACAATTCAGACTAATATGAATGTAGTAGAAGTCTTTCAGACTTCTGATCAAATTCAAGGAAGAACCTACAATGCTCAGTGAGAAGAGTAACGTTCAAAAGTGCAAAAGATAAGGAAGATCTTTCTGGTGGTTGGAGTAGATGAGCAGTGAAACATATTGCTTACAGAGGCTGTGAAATCTCCACCACTGGAGATTTATCGGGACACTTATGTAACTACCTAAACCACCCCTGACAGGCGAGGCTGCCTTGGCTCAGGGACATCAGCCACTGATTTCTCACAGTGCCTTGAAGCCCTGTTTTTAATGGCACATGAAGACCTGCAAAATTTAAATAAAAAAGCCACAATGGGTCTTCTGCATTGACTCTTCATCTTATTCTTTAGAATGTATTGTTATTTCACTACATACTAAATTAGTAGCTACTGCACCAGAAGTCATTAAAACTCATCTCATGTTTCTCAACTAGAAAATTACTGGTATTCCTATGTCTGTATGAACTTCTAGTCTAAGCAGATATAGAATACCATAGAATACTGCTTCAAATCAATATTTGCACTCATGCATTGCTATCTGCTGAAAAACAAGATAAATGACACAGCACAACTTGATGTCACTTAATTCCTGATTATGAGAAGTGCATCATTCCCACATTGTTTCAACAAACCGCACCAGTGTGTCTGGTACCTGGGGAGTTTAGGCTCCCCTCCATAAGGTGCTCCAGGAAGGAGATTCAGAAAGCTGGTGTCCTGAGTGGGAGGTGGCCGTGCCAGCCAGTGAGAGACATAACTGGTCATAACTAGAGGAGCCACAGATGTAAATTCTCTTCTAACATTGTCAATGTCAAACGTGTCTCTTGCAAAGAAAGCATTCTTCAAACAGGACATGTATCGATGAAGTGAGACCTCCCCTCACACCCAGTCCCCCTTCAGACCTGGAGCAGAGCTCCCCACCAGCAGTCTGGGACAGATATTCATTTGGTGGTCTCTATGGCCAACCAATTTTCTGTATTTTATACTGAATTAATAGTTCCAGAAAGATAGACCAAGATAACGTATTTCAAAGTATCCTGTAAGAAGGAAGCCTGGGACCTTATCATGGTGATATCCATCTGGCTTCTCGATGGATGTGTAACCAGGTTTAATTTCCCTGATCAATTCGAAACTGGTGAATGTCTACACTGTGCCAGTGAAAGTGATAGTTTTATCCATGTAACCAGCTTGATAGGGATGGCATTATCTCATGCAACTAGACAGAAAACTACAGCCTAATTAAGGCATACATGCATGCCAGACTCCGTTTATGGGAAGCTCAAAGTCACATCTTATCAGTCATCTCAAATGGCCACTGATAATGAAAACCATAAACAGTGTGGGAAATAACATGATTAGCATTAATTAGGGAAGCCAGAAGGGTTTACAGCAGAATTTAAAGTGTTATTTGAACTTACATTGCTTTTGCAAAATTGATTTTTCTGTTTCCCCAGCCCTAGCTTAATGCTAGCTAAGGAGAAGCCTGACAATATAGACAGATGTTCTTTGCAGCAGACAGGCACTGTAGACCTTTCTTCAGAAATATGTGGCTTTTAAAAGTAAAGCTGCTGTCCTAGTTTGGAGCTGAAGAACCCCTTTTGCTCTCAAGTTACTCTTCTGAGACATCAGGGAAAGAAAAGGGCCGATTCTCCTTAAACTTTATGAAGAGCATTCTCTAATCACTGGGTTCTCAACTATAAGAGGAAACAATAGTACCTGTGATCTCTGCACAGTGTACAATCCAGCAGACCAATGTGTTAAGGGAATGTCTGAGTGCATTTCCTGAGCATGAGAGGCTGGTGACTAGTTTGTAAATCCTTCAGACATTCACCACAGCTTTGATGTCCCTGCATCAAAGCTCATTAGCAGGAATGTAACTTTATGCATACCTGAAAGTTAAGCAAAGGTCCCCTGGCACTTTCACATCCGAAAAAAAAATGTCATTTAAGTTCATTAAGTTGGTAAGTGTTCTACCAGATCCTGCAACGTCCAAACAAACCACTCTGATACTCTGTATTCACTGACAAACTCCCTAAATCCATGGGCTAGGTGTCTAAGTGTAATACAGTTTCTAAAACTGTTAAGAAACAACCTAATTTAGTTGTAAGAGTTTAGCTGGAGCCGAGTCACTCTGATGAAGCTTGGTTAACATGCAGCAAAACAGAAAATGTGATCATCCAGGGAAAGTCTGTGTAACATGGATTATGTTCTTAATTTGTACTTGGTTCAGAGAGAAATCCTTCCTTACTGCAAGCCACCATGCTGATGTTGGCAAAACTTCTGGTGGTCTTGATGACTAAAGGCTTACCCAGCTTTTACTAGAAAGCACATCTGACAGTATTATTGGCAGCTCTGCTTTTGGCTGAGGCCTTGGTCAGTAATGCTGCTGCTTCAGCTTGAAACTACAGCACCACTGGCACTTATCCCAGGAAGCATGCCAGCTTCTGATGGGTACTGACCACAGCAAAATGAGACTTCCCAGAAGAAACTGTGACTTGCTCATGTCCCAGAAGAAACAGGGATTATTTTTTGACACGATGACATAAGTGAAGCATCTAGCTATTTTCAGTAGACACTGGAATGTGTGTGATATGTAAACAAACAGATGCATTTATATTTGCACTAAAAGTTTAAAACTGTCCCTCACACATTGGTGTAAAGGCTTTGGATCATTGATATGAAAGTACAAAATGGGTGAGCAGTCAGAAAACTTCCTAAAAAACAAAATAAATCTAAACAGATTTGTATTTGAAACATACCTTACAACGGTATAACATCTGCTAAACAGGATTCAAACTATCTAGAAGCAGAACAGCTGCAGTGTGATATATAAGAGCAAAAATGAAAATAGAAAGCTAACCTTGGTTGAAACTTACGATAAACATCTTATTGTGCAGACACGTGAATCATCTACAAGCTTGCAATCTCTCTTGTGAAGACAAAGAGACAACATTTCTAATGAAATGAACTTACATCACTTAGCAAACATTAAATGTGCAATACATCTGTTACAAAAGTCAGTGCTATTTACCCAGTGTGACACAGGTGCACAAAAATACACCCAAAGACTTAAACCACCAATCTAATTGCAAGAAGATGCATAAATAAGGCAAAAACTTTTACTAGATCATGTCCAAATGGAACAAGAACTCCCATCTCCTAGAGTCACCTACCCAAGTGGTCCCTCTCTCTGGGAATATTTCTTAATGCTCAAGATATAAATAAGCTGATCGATCCCCATCTGTCACGACAGTTCATGGTTGCCAGGGGAACAATCTGAAAAGCAGAGCTTGACTAATGGTATCAGGTAACACAGCCCTTACCTGAAACAGAGAAGGCCAAACCTTGGGCTTTCATTAGGGATGAAGGAAACACCCATGAAAAAAGAAGCAAGATTTTTCCCTGCTAGGTTGGGCAAACCAGCTCTACAGAGATCTCTGCAGCTTTCATTTAACTCAGAGCAATGAAATCTTAGCTGTCTCTATGTTTGAGCATAAAAGCAAACATAGGTTGAAAAAATTATATAGGTTAAGCAATCATAACAGGTTTCCAGGCATTCTGTTAATCACTTCCTTGTCACAAGCATGTGGTACACATACCACACACAGCATCCACCTATTACAGTAAAGCAAGAGTAGCTCTGTGGAGGTTACAACTCTGCTTTTCCTCAGATTTCATGTTGTAATGGTTGCTATGATTAAATGTACCCAATAGCAAATACAACTTTTGTACTTCATGGGAGGGAAAAGAAAGTTACTCTTTTAGATAATGGATCCATTCAGCCCATAAGTAATAAGACTATTTTTACTCCTGCAAGGAGCCCCCACTTGTTTGATCAAACCTGATGGAAAGAAGCGTGTTTCTTCACACCTCTGCTGTCCCCAGGCACAAGATTTTGTACAGAGGTCAGTGTGAAGTTCACTCATTAACAGCATACTAAAAGCAGCATTTTACTTTGGTTCTCCTGAGCAAACAACAGGCTTATGCCAAGTAAGGTTCTCACTCACACCTAATGACCAAAGCTAAAGGTGATCCTTTCTAAATAAGATCAAAGATCTACCCAGACACTTCTACACATCATCTCATTTTCAAACCTTCTTGTCCTCTAGCAATTCCTTTCCTCCCTGACTACAAGTAACTTAATTTCTTCAATAATACAGCTTTGAATCTTTTACTCCCTGATTCCTTTCCCCTATTCTGTTTCAAATATGTTTACTTTTACCTTTAATTGACAGGGCCAGTTTCTAATTTAACTTTCCACTAATGTGAAAGGGGTAAAGATTTTATTCATTACAAAATTTGCATTTATCTGTTCTACCATTTCCAGCTGTCCCACCTCCACTCCCCCTGTCCTCTTAATGCCTTCCACATGTTTTCACGCATGTACAACCAGACTGTTAACAATAGCTCTTTCCCAAATCCCTGCCATTATTTAGAGCTGACCACACCACTGCTACTGCCAGCTGCCCAGAACTTTGGGGCTAGTCTTTCAGCTTGTAAAAAGTCCCAGACTGGTGAGGTTGTGGAACCAGGAAGATGTTGCTATGTTTCAACATACCCTAAACATTTTAAAGAATCAGTTCATAGCACAGCCAACATAAATTGTGGCTAGATGTGCCAAACATTGATCATAAATGCTAGTAAAAAATCAGTAGGTCTATAAAATTTACTGAAACTTTTGTAATATGTATGCAGATTTTTTTCTTTCATCAAATGATGTAGAATGAAGTATCTATATCAAGACACTTGCCAGTCACTTGTGTCGCATGCTGAAAAAAGCCCCAATCTTTCAGGTTTTCGTATTGTCTTCACTTGAGTTCATAGCTCATCCCACTAAACAGCAATTGTACCCACATTTCATACAGTCATCAGTCAGCAGGAGTGAGCAGGAGCATTTCATCCACCTGTTTAGGCTGTCCTGCAAACTCCTTGTTTGATGAGACTGCATAAATAGTTAGAATCACTTATAATTCAGGAGAAAACATGCAAATTTTGCACAGGCAAAGATGTGGGAAGCAGTCCAGGAAAGATGTCACTCTTGTCATCTCTCATTAGGTGATTGCCCCTTCAAAGGACCGAGTTTCTGGAATCCCCGCTAATCTGGAATCCCCCACTAATGCTGTTGCGTAAATGGTTGGTGGCAGGGTCACACCCAGGGTACTGCAGAATCACTGCCTGTCACCTGCTCCCCGTGGCACATCAGTTTGGAATAACTCTCACCTAATCAAAAGGTGTAGGTCCACACTCTGAGCCTGTAAGTGCACCCTTGAGCGCCTGCACTGGCACTCAGCCAAACGAATTCACCCAGAGCTGTCTAAAGTTATACAACTGTTTACATATTTTATGAAAACATTTTATCTTCTTTTATGAGACATTATCTGCCTGTCTGTGGCAATTTATGTGCTTCACTCCCAGCCCATTTCTAAATCATCTGGAGTGAAGAGCCTAAGTGGAAAGCCGTACTTTCATTTACAATCTGAGCAACTGCTTCTAGTAATTGAAGTTCAGAGAAAATAAGTTATTTTCTAGGTTTGTCTTTAACAGGCTTCTCCAGCAAGCACTCATAATATAGGCAAGATTTTAGATCAATTTTGTAAACAGATCCCCGAAATTATGTTGTGACACTTTTCCATCGTTAGGACAAGCAATGCACAGGTCTGCTGTTTCCAAGTGCCACTGTCAGTACAGGATAGGTAAATTCCTCTTTATTTTTTTTTTTCCCCCCTAGATTAGTCTGGTCGTCCCAGGCTCCTGAGGAGAGCTCTCAGAGTGGTGTGGCAGCCACCCATGTTTCTAAGCCATGCACTCCCCACTGAATGGGAGCAGACTGGGCGCCTCCCAGGGTCACTGGCACCCCAGGGGCCTGCCTGGAGAGCCGAGCAGACCAGGGCTGGCACTCGATGGGGTGGCTGGGCCTGGGCATGAAGATGCCAGCGTGCTGACCACACCCTGCCCAGGGAGGTGTCGGGCAGCCCCTCACTGCCGCCCCACGCACTGCGGCCTCGCCTTTGTGTGAGCTCCACCGTGTTTACTCTCCCACTTCCTTGTTCCAGTCCAGTGTGAGGGCCATAAACCGCCCGGCTGGCACGGCTGAGCCCTTGGTAGCAGGGGCAGGAGGAAGAGGAGGGAGGGGGATGGCGGTCATCCCCTGGCTCTGTGCTGGGAGGGTACCCCAGGTGCCGCCGTGGTGGTTGGGAGCGCAGCCCTTCCTCTAGGGCTGGTGCCGCCATCCACGGTGGGTCTCTCATGCCCACTGGCCACCCTCATGCCGGTGTCCAGGGGCACACCAGGAGAGAACAGGACCTATTTCCCCTTCTTCTCGGACTTCAGGGGCCACAATGTGACGGCCCTGCGCATCGGCGAGTCATCTGCCCTGGCCTTCATCTTCCTGCTGTCGTTGGCGGGAAACATCTGGGGCATCTGCCTGCTGGTGAGGCGGCACCGCCGGCTCTGCGCCGCCAACTGCCTCGTCCTCAACCTCTTCTGCGCCGACCTGCTCTTCATCACCGCCATGCCCATCATCGCCGTCGTGCGCTGGACCGAGTCCTGGCTGCTGGGCAACGTCGTCTGCCACCTGCTCTTCTATGTGGTGAGCCTGAGCGGCACCGTCATCATCCTCTCCCTGACGGCCGTCAGCCTGGAGCGCGTCGTCAGCATCGCCCGGCTGCGCCACGCCGCCTTCCGCCGCCGCAAGGTGCTGGCCGCCGCCTTGCTCCTCATCTGGGGCTTCGCCGCCCTCGCCACCCTCCCGCTCTGCTGCTTCTTCACCGTGGTGCGGCTGCCCGCCCCCGCCGGCCAGGTAAGGCTCGTCCGGCTCTGCCGCGGCGGGGGCACAGCGGGCAGCGAGGAGATCTCTGGCAGGGCGGGCAGCGCTCTGTGTGCGGGGCAGGTGCGAGGCTGTGCCCGCAGGAGCCCCCGGCCCGCTCTCCCGGCACACAGTCCCGTCAGATGGGAAACGCGCACCGGCTGGCATTCTCTTTGCGTTCCTCAGTGCGGCTCAGAGATCCCCTTTTCAGCTCACTTCCCCTTTCCGAGGGATCAGCATCCTGGGAGAGCTGCCCTGCACCCGCAGCCCCCTCTGTGACTGTGTGCAGATTTTTCTGCCCAATGTTTTGAAATGCTTTCAAAAGTGCACCCGAAGTGACACTTGAAAAAATAGTTAAGTTTGGGGTCTGTAAGTTTCAATTTTAAAGCTGCCATTACCATTTGATATTAAATTAATGGGAGTATTCCAGTTGTGGACATATCTATTTGTAATTGTATGGGCTATTAAAACCATCAAGTAATATATTACTGGACTGCTTTGGCTAAGTAGAAAGTTTTCACAAATGACTTGGTTTAGCCATTTTTTTTCCATAAGCATAGAGGGAGATAAGAACAATGCTGTACTGAAAATAATGGTACAATATTACCTTTCTTCTTAATTTTTTGCAAATAGGACATTCAGATTTGCACCCTGGATTGGCCCAGCACTGCAGGAGAAACAGTCTGGGATATGACCTTTGCCATTGTTTTCTTTCTGATACCAGGATTCATCATTGTCATCAGTTACTCAAAAATCTTACAGGTATGTTTTTCCTTTAAATTTTGTTGTAAAACAAAGGGAAGTAAACAGTAAACTCACTAGTCATCAGCATATTGTCACTGAATACAAATACATGTTAAGGGAACAGGCATCACTTGTTCAATATAATATGTGATATAAAATGAAGCATTTCAATCTGCACATAACAGCCTATACATTTCAATTAAGAACATGCTTCAACAGCACATTACCACAGACTCAACACATGGTTTGTCTTCTTATAGATAGTATTAAATACACTTCTTCATTTATGTACTGTTCATATTTAAAGACTGTCAATCTCCTAAATGCTGAAAGAGTCAAGCATTTGAAATAACTAAAACTAGGTTTTGCTTTTCTTGAAGCTAAACTCTAGTCATAAGGGATTTGTAAGAAAGCAAAAAAAGGCAGGATTAGAAAAAAAATAAAAATCTACTTTTTGATCTATTGGCTTTCTGCACGTGTCTTTAGTACACAGATCTCATTAAATTATAGTTAATCCTCCACAACTTCAAATATTGTAAATAAAACCTGTAAATTGAACACTCTGCTTCCACTTTCTTTCTAAGTGGATGATGTTTAACATATATGAAATACAAAACAAGCTACCCAGCACCACAGAGTTTTAATCTATAGTCGAGCAAGCATTATATTAGCATCTAAATTCCTTTTAAACTATCCAAAACCAGAGTGAAAAAAATCTAGAAATCTTCAAATCAAGCACTTCAAACTAGTCACTGCAATGCCTAGTTTTTATCAATCTCCCACAAGATCCTTGATTCCTTTATTGGGCAATTAAACTTCTCATAATATGTATAAGAATATTATAGGTTTTGGAAAGGAACCTCAGCATACATGGATTATTGAGCAAGGAGTTAATTGATGAAATGCTGAGCACCAAGGGGCTGTGGATGCACATGCCAGAGCTGGATGTAGGTATAAAACGAACCTAGGACCTAGAATCTGGTCTCCACACATCCTTGCCTATTGATCAAACTTAAACTTGTAGTAAAAGTCATCAGCCTGTAGCTTCTGTACTGTCTATCAGCTCACTATAACCTTGAGGCAAATGCATTAGGTGAACCTCTTCTAGTGAAGTAAAGCACTTGCAACCACATATTGCTGTAGACAAAGAGTGTAGAGCAACTTAGTGGAGAGTATGAGTCCTTTGAAAGAACTGCAAAGTACTACAGGCCAAGGAAAGCCACAGTTCTTGGTCAGAGGCCAGGACAGGAATGCTGTTTGTCATGTCCTTGCAGACTCCAGATTATAGGAAAATTTATAAAACAAAATGGCACATAGGGAGCTAGAAACCAAAAGCAGTGTTTGGAATACTGGATTACAAGACATCCCTGTGCTGCTCTGCTCCATTTTATTTTCTAACTTGTTAACAGAAATGCAAAACTACATTACCATTTCCCCTGAAATTAAGAAGGCTTGAGGCCCATAGCAGGATATAATTGAGCCTTCTCTCTCTCCAGGAAGCAACCAGAACTGAACTGGAGAATATCTCCATCCCTGAGTCATACCCAAGAGCAAACTCACTCTAACTTTGTGAGAATGCTCCAATATGCCAGTGCACACATAGCATGATTCTCAGTATTGCTGGAAGCAGTGACAAACATTCACGTATTCATCTTACAACATTGATGATGATGAGGATGATAATGACTGACTACAGATACAAGACCTGAAATTTTTTAACAATATACACTACTACAAATGTACTTCACAATTTAGTCTGAAACTGAGTATTATTTTTACATAACACTTCCCAGAACCCTGGCAAAATTATACATTACAATGATCTGTAATTTATTTAGTTTTCAATTGTTCTGTCTCTCAGGCAAGACTTTGTCAGAGGCTAGAGCTGGGGAAGATCTCTGTGTTCTGAAAGTGACATGCTTTTATATATATATATCTGACTTCCAAGTTCCTGTTTGTCTAAGTGTGGTCCAGATGCTCAGGATAGGTATCTATACTGGGCAGACCAAAAAGGGATCTACAACGTACCACTGCCACCCCATTTCTCTTGAACACTTTCTTAAGATGCAGTTGTCTCTTTTTTACCACAGTCCTGGTGATTCTTAGTTCTAGGCAGTGCAGCTCCTGCAGGAAAGACAGAAAGTTAAATACCTTCATAGGACAGATAAAAATTTATCTGATGAGGACATTCTGTAGCAGGTTTGAAAAGTGCACACAATGCAGTTTTCCTACTTTTATGTTAGAAGTGGATATTAGTGCTTTGCATTTTGTGAAACCTTCATTCTTACTAAGATAGGTTAGAGTATCTCTGAGAACAGCTCTGTTTGGACTGTTTGGAGGAGTTAACCCAGTTTCTGGATTCCAGATGGTACAGCAGAAGATCATCAAGCTGGAATAGTTTTATATGCTCAGGACATCAGGATTCTCTGGTCCTTTTAAATCAGGGAAGCAGTGATACTGTCCCCTTCTCAGTCTCAGATGCTGCTAAGAAACCCATTTTGATTTATGGGTTTTCATTTATACACCAACATTCTACTGAAATACTTAGAAGACGTCTAGATTCTAACTGGGTATTTATCTCTGACAAATTCAGAAAACTGCAAACAGAATGACGAATTACTGTTTCTCTATCTAAACGTTTTATCCTTATCTGTACCAGGAAGTTAAAAGGTGTTGCTAGTACTAGAGTTATCCTTCCTGTAGTTTCTGCTAAGGGGAAAAACAGCAGGAGAAGTCTTACATTTTGACTTTCCTATGTAGACAGCTAATTGATCAAGGCTTTTGAAAATGTTTGAAAACAACCCTTCTTTATGCATGCAGGGGATAAAGTGGCATCTCAGTTATTTAGCACAAATCTTTCTTTGCTAGATATTTAAATTTTATTTTATTTGCATCAGATGAATGAATGTAACAAACTATATTGTGCCATGCCAACTTCAGGGAAGACAGAGATATAGAGCAGGGGATTTAGTTTTCTGCAAGCCACTGGGTTCAATATTCTGCCTAATGACAGATGATGCACACCCATGAATACTAGGTTTCCAAGCTACCCATAGTCTAGTTTATTACATCAGAGAGTACTTTTACAAGACACAGATTTTTATAGTGACTGTAAGGATCTGTAAGATTTCATGTTCATTCATAGAAAGTAATTGTGATTACTGTCTGAAAAGCTAAGTGTGTCACAAAACAATGCAGTCTCATTCACATTTAAAATTATTTATTATAATAAATTCATGCTCCTTCTAATACCTACCTTATAATATCAGCATGGCTGTAAGAGAATTGGATCACACTCCCTCTTGAGCATCAACAGGTTTGTTAACTATGTTCCAGTTTGCATTTGTGAAGAAAATCAATGGGTTTCTTTAGATAGAACAAATGAGGTAATAATTTGAATTTAATGGGATTTCATGAGTAATTAAGACTGTTTTATGCTGAAAAGTATTTGTGACTGGTAGAGAGCCATGGAAAGAACAACGCTTTGCCAGAACTTGGAGATGAGTTCACAGCTGAGAGGAAAAAGAATTGCTAGTGAACTGAAAACATTTGAAATGGAACCATTGACAAAAAGTACAAATGAATTCTGCAATGCATTTTTTTGTAGTCGCTTTTCAAAAGAAAATATCATGTGCCAAGATTTATTTTTTCACTTGTAGAAATGTGTTTCAGTGAAAGTTACTTTCTTCTCTTTTACTGCAGATTACAAAAGCATCAAGAAGAAGTTTAAATGCTGGTTTAGCCTACTCAGAACATCATCAGATTCGTGTTTCCCGGCAAGACTACAAACTATTCCGAGCCCTTTTTCTGTTGATGATCTCTTTTTTCATTATGTGGAGCCCAATAATAGTAATTATTTTTTTAATTTTAGTTCAGAACTTCAAAAAGGATTTAAATATTTTGCCATCAGTTTTCTTCTGGATAGCATTATTCACTTTTGCCAACTCTGCTGTCAATCCAATTCTGTATAATGTTTCCCATTTCAGACGTAAATGTCAGGAAATTCTTCTCTGTTGTACAAGGAACCCTGAGAGGCATGGAGCAGGTACAGAAACCACTGCAAGAAGAAGTAACCGTGAACAGCCACATTTGTCTTTCATTACCAGATAATTATTTAAAGTCTGAGCTGCGCCACACTTTGGATTTTGTCTATGCTATCCCAGGTCACATAGGTCATTATGTTATAGTATTACATGCCAGCAGAGGAGGAAAAAAAGCTAAATGCATATTTTTAATTCCTGCAAGTAAAATTCTCTTGACTTCATTTGCTTTTCCTTAGTAAGGTTTGGACAATTTAATCCAATGGATTGGATTCTCCTCTTATGCTGAAATAAATAGAAATATGGCAGTGAACTTGGTGAATGTAAAATAGTTTAATTAAGTACTTTTAATTTTCTAGTGAAAATGTTCACCCTCAGAAGGTATCTGCTTTTTTTTATAATCCAGTTTTTAGAGGGAACTTGATTAAACACTTCAATAGTTGACTGCCTGAACACATGTTTGAGCAAACTAACTGAAACAAGGTAATCAACATGTTATCACCAAGTAAATGACCAGTTTGGTTCCATCTCAAATTAAAAATAAGGACTTAATACATGTGAATTTACAAGTAAAGAATAAATAAATAAATGGTTGTTATGTGTAAAATAGTTCTTTTTAAAATATGCTTATTTTTAATGTTCACTAGTCATATAATAAAGTTCATTAGTGATATATAGGGTCACTGAAATTCCTTTCTCTTTTCTAAATGATTTCCAGTATTTTATAGAGAAAATTTAGTGTTCTATTTGGAAAGAAAATACATATGCTTGGAAGTTCATGATAAATACTCTTTTAGTCAGAAATTGAAACCACTAAAAAAAGCAAGATTAAATTCTTGATTATCACCATGTGTCACCAGCTCAAAACATTGCACTAAGATAACAGGCTACTAATGAAACCATTAGGTAGTGTCTACCTACATACAGATTTACATACAATTTGCATCCCCTGTAATCCAAGTTTATTAAAATGTTTCATTGGTTTATTAACAAGGTGAGCTACACAGCTCAGATAAATATATTGAAAATCTAAATGAAGCCATTTAAAGCATTTTCCAGAGAACACATGATCAATGTGTTAACTTTACATCCGTGGTGCTGTTACGTGGTTTCTTGCCACAGGGTTGGATCTCCTTAAGAGCAAAATCCTGAAACACACAAAAATCACAGTTGTGTTTGTCAATCTAGACAAAATTTAATTACATGAACTTTCACCAAATTTAAAATGCATACATATCTAATTTCTTTAAAATGCTCTTGAGTCTAGTAGTCTGTTACTTGTAATAATAATGCCATTACCTTTTTCTGTAGATTGTAATTCCTAGGAAATTTCAACTCAGAACAAAACAGGAATTCATCCAATCTGTCACCCCTCTCCTGAGCATTTTAATACTTTTGCAGACAAGGTACTGGGCAGATCAGTGGTAAAAGAGTATCTTGCAGTGATAGGAGTCTATTCTTTAACAAACTTCTAGTTATTTGCTTAAAAATAATCAATTTAAGGACGTCATTCCACAAAGTAAGAATCTCCTGACTCCCAAAACTTCTAATGGCAATAGTAAATTAGCAGAAGGAACATGCCACTCTTTATTTTACAGTTTTTCCTTCTACCAAATACTAACAGCAGATGCAGCTTTCAATTCTACTGACATGACACTATTTACAAGTACTCTGACTTAATATTGACACTGACATCACACAGCTTAAAGTTACTTGAGCTATTACTCTGAGAGAGTAAATGTGTGTATATATATGCATATATATAAAAATGTATGCATACATGCGTATTTATATATATTATATATAAATGAGTATTTAAAATAAATATTATTTTAATATTTAAAATATAACTAAAATATAAATATAAATATAAATATAAATATAAATATTTATATATATATATTTATAATAAATTAAAAATAGCTTGATCTATATTTGAGAAGCAACTACCATCATGCAGCGCAAGTTAGAACAAAAAACTTTAATTTCCTAGGCTTCTCTTTTGCCTTGAAGAGCCAGTACAGATATTTTAATTTTTTTTTAAATCAAGTTAAGTTTTATACATCTATTAGTTGAGGGGGTACACACATATGTGCACACACACACACACACACACACAGTCTCTTAATTAGCTTCAAGACATAAGGCAGAGTGTGCACAATTAGCAACAGATACCAGCCTATTCTTGCAGCATTTACTAATATCAGTCAGAATTTTATCACGGTAACAATGGCATACAGGTCAGTGCAGACAATTGAAGTTGGTTTGTTTTGGTAGTAATTCTGTAGCTCTTAATATCAGATTTAAAATTAAAGTAGTAGGGCTTCCAATCCACACATAAGGAATTAAGCAAATTTTGTAAGGGTCTATGATATGAAGCTTCCAAGATTTTTATTTTTTTTTCCAGTTTAGCTCACAATCATTCCCTCAGTCCCAAATGTGCTTGCTTTGCAGGAAGTTTAGCTTAATGATACTGGAGAATTCAGAATCGACTAATAATAGGGTCCTGATCAATAAAGGGAAATGCAAATTGCTGTCTTTAAGCTTTAGGCTTATAAACTCTGGCATAATCCTTAATAAAAATGTACCCAGGCTCCTATTTTTCATTTGCAAACCACAGAACTCACACAGTCATATCAGACACTGCACTCAGCACCTAACATCTGAGTATGAATTAGGATAGCAAACAAAGAAGAGTGTGACTTGATAGATTAGATATTTGATATCTATAACAAACTATAGGAAGCATGATCAACTTTTAAATTATCTTAGATTAATAGAATATCCCTTAACATCTGATTATTTGGCTTTCTCATTTCCAGAAATTTTTATTCTTGAAAAGCAGGGAATGCAGGATGCAAAACAGAAAAGTATAACCAATTTATATAATGACATTGTTTCTTTTCTATCCTAACATTTATGCAGTCATACAAATCATTCATAGAAGCTGATTCAATTTGCATTTATGATGTCTCTTATTCTTGACTGTTCTAAGCCTTAACTGACGTACATTGTCTCCAAATTCTCATTCAAGACAAATTTTTTTTTTCATTGCTGTCAGGAACTTTTCCTGGGTCACTGATCATTACTGTAAACACTACCTACTTTAGCAGAGTAGGTGGCACCCTGTTCTTCAAGGCACCCTGTTATCAGCACACTACTTTACAACACAGCAATATATTACTCTGTGTTTGTGGCTCAGATGAACAGATAATAGAGACATGACAGCTGACTTTGCTCATCTGTTATGACTTTCTTTATATGACACAAAAGTTCCTTCAGTCAATCCCAGTTTGTTCTATCATGTCATTGAGAAAAGCCTTTAATCTTGATTTACAGATTTCAGTGATGAAGAACATACAACAGCTCTTGGTAAACTGTTCCAAAGGTTAATGACCTTTGGAGTTAAACAAATGGCTGTTTATTTCTGCTCTGAATGTGTCCAGTTTAAAGTTCCATCCCTTTAAATTTATTATTTCTGTGTTTGCAAGTCTTTTTCTATCCAATTCCTTACTGCTTGTGTGGAAAAGCACAGACATTGTTCAGGTCACCCCTTAACCTCTTTCTAATGAGAAAGATTAGGATCTTTGAAGCACTCACTAGAGGACGCATTTTACAAATTTTCAATCATTTTCTCTGCTCTTCTTTGAAACTTCTAATTTATCCTCAATACTTTTTCCAGTTATGCTTGCCACTAAAACGTGACATAGCAATTAGGCCTATGCCAAGCAAAACAATCTCATTGTTTGGTCTTGGTTTATGCGTCCAAGAATCGTATTAACTCTTTTGCTCACATCATTACGTTGGGAGTTCCCATTCAGCTGATTCAACAGCCAAGTCTTTCATAGATAACACGTCTTCCAGGATGTGAGGGGTGGGGAGGGAGTAGGGAGAGGTACTACTATTTTATTTGTTCTAAATATTTTGATTTTTCTCATTCACTCTTTACAATTCCCCACTTTGGGTGTAATTCTTATCAGTAAGTACATTATGGTTTCTTCTAGATTTTACCATTTGGCCTTTCGTAATATACCTGTGCACAAGTGAGCTAATTCCCTGTGTTGTAAGCTCAGCCTGACTATGTGACTCAAGATAGTGTCATACTTCCAATATGAGGGCTATGTCCCTCTTCCACAGCTCTTTATGAAACAGCTGGCATGAGGACTTGTGAGAAAGGGTCTTCTAAAAGGTATCCTTTCCAAGACTTCTATTTTCCTTAAAAGCCTTTCTGAGGAATCTCCTAAAGAAGTATTTGAACAAAGGCAAAGACATCTGATGAAAGCTACCCAATTATTTTTACCACAGCTATGAAGTTTATCCTTCCCATGTTTACTCACTCTACATTGATTTAATTGTTTTACAACTTCCTCTAATTACTGTTTCAGCTGATCTGATATGCTGCATGAAAATCTATGCATCTCAACTCTCCTTCAGATAAGGGAAGTAAAAGTTGGAAATAATTTAAAACAAGCTCCAGTTTTCAAAAGACATTGTTACAGCCACTAAGTAAGACTTTATGCATTTCATATGTAGTGAGCAAGAGAATCTCAGTGCTTTAGTCACTAAAACCCTGAAATAAAATTCTTCATAAAAAAAGTTTCTCACCATTGTGAGCGATAACTCTGTATTTTCTGTCCAAACAGAGGTCTATCTGCCTTTGTCTGACAATTTTCAGTGCATCTGGAGGCAATCCCTTGGGGTCCCGGGAGAACACAAAGGAGTAGCTGTCAGCACAAGTGCCATCTGCATTTAGTTGGCGGCAGGAGTAGTGAAGAGCGTATGTATCATAATCTGTGTCCACTACCCAGTGATCATCATCTGGAAGAAACCATAACAAAGAAGGAAAAGTGTTAGAGATACCAGTGAAATCTAGTAAATCAGAAAGTATTGCTGCCATAACTCTGTAAAGAAAATACTAAGATGAAGACTGGTACAAATTATAACAGATTAGCTTTTCATTTATTCCTGCATTCAGTATTTAATTCCATGTTTATTTTTTAAAAGAAAATAAAGACAGACATGCTAGGCCTGCTCAAGATGACTCAAACCCATAAATATTTTCCTACCAGGGGTGTTACTTAGACAGCATTTGTAAGGAAAAAGAGTATCATGCAGTTTGCATGCGTATTAGAAGTGTATTTGCAAGAAGTTCTGCTATAAACCCTATTCTTAAAACACAGTTACAACTTCAGAGAATTCTTAACTATTCAGCTTTGTAACCTGACCAAAACCTGGTCACACAGGCACTCTGTTCTAAAAGAAGCAAGGCTGTTTCAGTGTTTGCAGTAAAACCTGACATATCTGCACCTTCCTCTCCCGGAGCAAAAGGTTCTCCCTTGCAGTACATCTGCACTGAAGGCAACACACTGTTGTCTTCCCCTTCTCTCCTGTGGGGGACACCAGACATTTTAGAAGGGTAGAGTTTGGGGTCAGCCAGCAATCTAAAGAACCCATGATGCAGCAGCATATTGTGAGGAGACCTGGGAACTATTTAAGACGAATTGGCATCCAAAACATGCTTTGTAACTGTATCTTTGGATGGAATGGAGCTCCTGTCAGTTCCAAATTCTACCTGCTTCTTTTGGAAACAATCCAAGGAAATGTCTTGAGCTACAAAGTGTCCGAATCTCTACTTGGCTCAAGGAACTAATTTTGCATAGGGTGTGAGAGATGACATAAAGGTATGAATATATCAATATATACATATGATCATATTTGTCTCTTAAAACAGATAAATCCCTACATTTGCAGACACAAGACCAAACAAAATAACATTTTCTAAATCCTCTTTCCTTCTTGGCCAGCTCTGACATCAGGCTTCAGAGAAAACAGAAACTGAGTTCCGAACTAAAACAAGTCTTAAAATACTTCATCTGCCTTTCATTTCTTTCCAAACAGTGGCCTTCAATTACGTTGTTGGGTAACAAACAAAAGAAATACAAGATACACAAAGGCCAGGTCTTCACTTGTTTAAAGAAAGCCAACCAGCTGTCCCATATAAAAAGTAGTGATTACCTTGCTCACATTAAGCCTTGCAGTATGATAGTTATTATGTTTTAAATGTGTTTAAGAAATTCAACAGTACTTTTTCCTTCCCCAGCATGGACATACAACATAACTAGTCTTCCAAGAAGCTCTGTATCTTCTATAATTAAGTACTCACTTCCTTTCTGAAGAAAAGAGGCGACACCCCAGTACTTCATCTTGAACTTGGCAGGATCCTCTGTGTCAGTGAAAGAGCCGATCATGTCAGCACAGACATCCCAGTTACTGTAGCCAGAGACAATCAAAAAAAACACTTTCCAATCTAAGAGCACAGGTTCAGTGTGACTAGCACAGGGGCAGCAGGTAGTATTGGAGCAGTAGCTTAGTGAAATGGAACAAGAGGAGAATGGCAAACAACTTACTTGAAGAGTCTGACTCTGCCCTTTGCAGTGGCAGTCATTTGTCCATTCTCATCTACAGTGAACTGGGCTACCACATTGTCCTGCAGAAACAGCCCCTCAGGATCTTTTTTTGCCATAGCATACCAGGTGCCACTGTACTGCAAGGAAATAAGAAAGGCTTCAGTTAGACCCAGAACAATGGAAACATTACAACCAGACAGTACAGAATAGGGGAGGTGACAGAGGGAAGAGCATGCAGATCTTTGACACCATGCCTCAAAGGTGTACCCAAGAAACAAATCTAGCTGTTTCAACAGCATAAACCCCTCAAATACATCCTACTGCAGTCATAATTTGTGGAAATACAGACTTCTTTTTGATAATCTTACTTGTATCTGCAGCTGTCCCGTATAAGGAACACAAAATTGAGTGGAAAAAGGAATAACAAATGGCAGATCTTGACAGATCTATGTATATTTTTTTTCCTTGCAATGGTGTCTGAAAACACTGGACTATTAATTTTTCATAGAAACAACCAAGTCAATACACTCCTTCTGCTTATACCCTACAGTTTGAGACCATTCTGCTAAAACTCAGTTTCTGCAGTATTCCTTTATCAGGTGCATCAGGATCCAGCATCTGTAGAGGTGTGGACATCACACACTTTAGCTGTTTCTCAGTATTACAGTCTGTGACTTTGAAATGTGACCACACTGGTGCTACTGAATGCCAAATTTTGTAGCCTGGAAAGAGTTATGCAAGACATCACAGATCCAGGAGAGTAAAGAAGATTTACCCTGGTCTTGTCGAAGTTCTCCTTGACTTTGAAGCTGCTTACTCGGCAGTCCCGCTCTGCAGTGCTGCTGCCCAGCAAGGACAGTGACAGCAGCAGCAGCCAGGGCAGAGCTCTCTCTGTGTGAGCCATCCTGTCCCTGCAGCAAACAGAGAATAGCATCAGAAACAGGCTCTGTTACACAAGTGAAGGGAGGAAGGCTGCTCTGATAAGTCGCCAGGGTGTCATGCAGCTTTCCCTGATGCATGTGCAGGCAAGGAACCTGGTTGTCCCCAGCCCACAACAGCAGGGTTCCTTACAGACAGTGCTGGTTCCTGGAGCTTCTTGAGAGCCCAAATGTTGATGGTGGTGGCACTGCCCAGACAAGGACAGCTTTATGTACTCCTGGGGCTTTCGCAACCTGCTGAGCCACAGAGCCTGCATTGGAGAAGGCAGCAGGGAGGTGGGTTGATGGATGCTGCAGGCTGGGGCCCCTTCATAACAGCTTCTTGCGTAACACCCATGGGCTCAGGTGGTCTTTGACCCTGATCTGCAGCCAAGCAGGCTCTAGGAACAAAGGCCTCTCTTTGCTTTTCCCAACCCAAAAGCAGAGCTCACACCTGGGGGAAGGGGTGTGCACACTGTGGGAAGTACAAATGGAATGAGAGGCATCCCACCTTTGAATTGGGGGAGAGTGAACTGCCTCCACCTCCTCTGTGATTTTACACACTGCAGTCCAAAATCCATCTTACCCAATATGCTCAACTCAGTTACAAGGTGCAGACTTGTTTCCTCCACCTCCTCCCCAAAGTCCTTTCCTCTTTTACCCTGATAAACAGTGGAAAACATAATACTTGCAAGTTTCTGCTCATGTTTCTGAAAGCCTGGTCATTCCAGAACCTCTTCAGGTCTTCATGACTGGTTCCTTCTTGCTTCTAAAAGGCTCTCTTGGGTGCTAAATCATCTCCCGAACAGCTCCCAGCAACAGGAAGGGGGGTCCTGCAGATCCTTAGGATGCTGAAAGTGCCTAACTGTGCCTAGACTTAACTGTGGCCTGCAAATACCCAAGTGCATGTGCATACCACATCAGGCCGTTCTGACATCTGATGAATTTTAAATCAGATATTCCATAGTTTTTATTCTGTTTTTGGCAAACTGTTTTCAGTTATATAAACCATTATTTTCTCCTGTCCAGGCAAGTTTTGCAGCCTCTCAGTCAATATTTGTTCTCTAGTTTCAACATCTTTAGGAAGCATTAGAGAAAATCTGTTAATTATTTTCTAGGCATGTAACCAGAGCAGGATAGGAATGATTGCTACCAAGAGAACTACTTCACCTGCTTTTTTCACCTTCCATTTTTTTAAAGAATAAAGACAGAAGCCTGTTATTTGAAAGGCCAGTATTCATTACTTTAAAAATCCAGTAAAAATATAATTTAAATATGGAGATACCAATGTAGTACAAAAAAATACCTCATTAGTAGCCAATGTACAGCTTTAACCAATTTTTTCAGCATGGCCTTTCCCAGAAGTTTACTTAATATTCCTTTCATACATTCATAAAAAAATTAGACTTCTTACTGTTACTGTTGCTGTCTTTTACAATCTCTTCTCATATACAATGCAAACAATCTCATTGATTTATCTTCCTTTTCTGCTTTGTGTTGGAGGCTTTTTGCACAGTGAGTATGTTTTGTTCACTTTCTCAAACATCTATTGCTCAGGGCTGTTCCATGTCTGCCTTTGATTTCCTGAATAACATCAGACACTAAAAATTCCACTACATTTAGTATTAAGTTTCTATTCATATTAAAGAACATATTTAACACAGGGAACCAGAAGGGTATATGTATATTAATTTTCCTGAAACTTTCAGTGGTAGCTTTGCAATAAGTCAACATTTCCATTTTTAAGCTGAGATTTTTAAATTTGCTAATTCCTACAAAGACTGGAGAGAAAAAATTAAACTCCATTCTTCCGGTGATTTTCAGAATCTTGCTTTAGTCTGGCAATGGTGATACCAGTGATACATACACATTTTTATAAAACCTTTGCAAAACACTCACGGGTCTTAATATATGAATTCATCATATGAATTCAACTGAATCAACTAGGATTTTTGTTCAATGTCTCACATGACTGATAACAATAAGATGGATTATAGCTTAATTCATAAGCTTTGAATCTATTACTTTATTTAATACCAAAGAAAACAACTATTTATTTATTCTCTGCCATTTTGTGAAATATTATCCTTTCTCCTGTTTGTCCTGTTCAAAAATCTGCATACTGCTTTATATTACTAGAGAGGTTCTTGCAGAATCAAATTTTTCCTATAAATTTTTTTCAATAGCATAATTGTCTATGAAGTTTTCAGAGGAGTCTACAGTCACTCATCCACATAAGTCAAAACCTGCTGAGATTTGATCACCTCTGAAAATCCAGGTTAGTATTCCTGTTACACATACTGCTGTTGTCAGAAGATTTACAGATGGGAAATGAAACCAGGTGTCAATGAAACAAAAATTTACTTCTGTTAATAAGTTTTAATAAAATCAGTTCTAAATGCATGCAAGAGTTATTACAGTCTCCTAAATTAATCTGATATAATAAATCTAAATCAGAAATGTGTAATTTTGTATAAGCCATGGCACAGCATTTCTTTAATTGTGTACCTCTACTGCTCTCTGCAATATTTGGCAACTCATATCTGGTGGAGGTTCCTGACAGGTTCAGTAATTAAAATATCCACTCATTCAGGTCTTCAAGTCTGGGATGTCTACAAACTCTAGACAATGCCCAAGGAAACTCTTCTTTTGATGTGTTATCATTGGGAATTTGGGGCAGTGCAGCTACAGTGAAATCACACCAGGATTTCCAGTCAGATTTTGACAAGTGCAGAAGAGAAGCTGGGCAAGTCAGAATGACATGAAGGTCACACAAGAAGTTGGGCTCTCTCCCTCCTCTGCTTTAGCTATACCTCCCATACTGCCTACCAGAGACAGTGCTTACATTGATGAAGTCCTTTCAGAGCTGCAGACGAAGCACTTCCTTGGTTCAGTGGGACAAGGTTTTTAGGCAAAAAGGCTGCTCTGTTGTTGGTTACATCTAGATCAGGGTGTGTTGGGGGAGGAATGGAAGGTTTCTGGTAGTCAAGCATCGCTATGGCAATTCAAGGGTGAATTCTTCCTCAGTCCTAAGAGATACAGTGGTGCCAGCAGAACTGTGTAAACCATAAACAGTGTAAACTTTGCTTCAGTTAAATACCATTTGGATTGATTGGGCTCTGGGTTTGCTTGAGAAATGATGTCAGTGAGTGATCCTCATCCAGACCTAGATATTCACCTCGTAGATTTATACTTCTCATGCAAATGGAAAGGCACTTGGGCCAGTATTTCAATTGAATCTGAGAGGAATCTGCAAGATCAAGTCAATGATATCCAAAGATTTCTAGGTTCTGGGAAAGCTCAGACAATTATATTCAAGAGAATTATTAAAATATTGATTACTGATTTAAATATTGCTAAGTTTCATACATGATTTCTGATACCTGAGGGTGGCAGCATATTATGAATATTACAGAATTTTTTTTTAAAGTCACAATGTATTTTTTTGAACTACATTTAATGAAAGGGAAAGAAGGTCTTCTACCTTTGAATTTTGTCAAGAGGACAGAAATGGAGTAATTTCTGGCAGTGATTCTGTCACTGGATTATTTTCTACATTAATAGCATGTAAAATTTTGCAATATTCTCTGTTAGGTATAGCAAGGAAAAAATATGGAAGGAAATGGCTGGAAAAGAAGTTTCATTGTAGGAATTATTTTATTGTTATTTATGATTTTTTTTTTAAAAGGAAGAAATTATTCAAATTACTATTTAAAACATTTTTAATGCTGTAACTTTCAAGCTTTACATATCAGAAGGACTAAAATTTTATTTTTGTTCACAAGACTAAGTCAAACTCTTAGGAGAAAGTTGACTCAAAAAACTACTAGTAGGAAATGGATCATCCATTTCCAGCCAGACTAACATAGATTGAAAGATTTTTTGCTGTCTTCTCTTGATTGTTTATTTATAGAATGCCATTCACAAACATGGGTATCCATTAAACTCTCAGAGGTAGATTTGCAGGCAAATGAATGACCACTGTGTGCACAGAGCCGGGGATGCAAGTGCAGCCACTGTCCTCTGAATCCAGACTCATATCAACAACAAATGGCATGAGCTGAGCCAAGGAGCTCCGGGTACTTTGTAAGGGACAACAGTGTACACTGTCGCCATCACAACTGTTCCTCTTGGTGGCAGTCTGAGTACAGAGGTCAAGGACAGAATGGAATAGAAAGGATTGCCCTTTGCTCCATGCCAGCCTGTGTACTGCCTGTTTTTGTAATTTAATGACGCGACATTTTGTTTAGGGAGTAAATTTACACTGAACTCTTTACAAACAGTATTTACTAACAAAACCATATTAAAATGGCACCTCTATTTTCTTTAGCAAGTCTTTCTGAGGGTTGCAATTATGAATTGAATTTTTTTTTCTGGGCATATTACTAAAATGGAAACAATTTGAAACAAAGACCTGAAGTTCTCCAACACGGTCGCCAGCCAGGTGAGAATCTAAATCATCTAAATCATAAATGATGGAAGACACAGACATGATGAAGTAAGTCCAGCAATGAACCACAAAGATCACAAAGCAATAGGAGAATCTGACAAAAATAGAGGCTGAGAGAGCTGGGACTCTTCGGCCCAAAAAGGTTTGAGGGGATCTCAACAACATGCATACTGACAGGAGGACATGAAGAAGAGAGTCAGACCCTCCTTGGCAGTGCTGAATAAACATTCTCAATAGTAAAAACTTGTCAAGTAACCTAAAATCACCAGGGAGTAAGTGTGAGAATGGCTGAGATGAAAACACTTCTGCCTTTTCCCTTAGTCTGTGCACTAAAATTCATGCCAAGCTATGAAGAAATCCATGCTTTTGGTCAAAGCTGCAGCGCATCTGGCAACCCAGGTTAACCCCTTTACACTAGACTCTCCCCCAGAGTCTATAATCTCTGTTGATTATTAATTTCATGATCCCCTAGAGCTAATAATTGTTAGTTTTATGAAAACATAAACATTTGCAGCTCTATGGAAAAAGCAGTGAACTTACTACCTTCAGCATTTATGTTTTTAAGATTGTTTCTGTAAGGAAAGGGATAGAGAATTATTATAAAGGAAACATGAAATTAAGGACATTTATAAGGGTTCCCAGAAGATACCGAGTCAGTGACACCAAAACATTTCAGCATTAAAACCCGGCTATGTTAGGGTCACAGAGTACCTGTTGTAAAAAACCTACAGAATCCGTTCTCACAACCTATCCATTTAGTAAAAAAACCCAAATAACCCTAAACATTAATTTCTTGACTCTCCAATGTCCAGACAGTGACCACGATATTAACCCCATCAAAAG